AACTTTACTTAAGGCCATACATGAAGGCTAATGACAAGACATACTCAAGTACTGGTACTTTTAAAAAAAAGAAAAATCTTTTCAGCATGTAAGCAAAAGACCAAGTTTCATGTAAGGGGAAAATATTGGCATAAGACTTTGACAATAATACTTCAGATCCAAGTCCGTAAGAGCTCACAAGAAAATGTAAGCCATGTCTTTTACACCCAATGAAACCTTCAAATATAATGGGTGTAGTGGTCATAATAAATAAATACCACAAAAGACTTAAATAATTTTGTCCCCATGAGCTCTTCCTGAGCTCGCTAGTAAAGAATGAGCTTCAGCCCTGGCTGGTTCGGCTCAGCAGTTAGAGAGCTGGCCTGTGGACGGAGGGGTGGTGGGTTCGATCCCCAGCTCGGGTAGGGGTGATTCGGGAGGCAATCAGTTGATGTGTCTTCCTCACATCAATGTTTCTCTCTCCCTCCCTCCTAAAAATTGCCTAAAAATCAATGAAAAATATCCTCAGATAAGAATTAACCATAAAAAAGAATGAGCTTCAGAAGATCAAAATACACTAAGAGAAGCTTTGCGACAAGATTTTTTTTTTTATCCGAACCCAAGAAAATTTTTGTATTTATCTTCAGATAGAACAGGAGGGAGAAAGGGAGGAAGAGAGAGAAACATCAACGGGAAAGGCACATCAAATGGTCGCCACCCACACGACCCCAATCGGGGCTGGGGAGAAACTGCAACCAAGGTACGTGCTCTTAGTGGGAACCGAACTCGGGACTCCCTGGTCCGCGGGCCTACACTCTAACCACTGAGCAAAACCAACCAGGGCTTTGCAACAAGATTTGATGGTAATGTTGAACATAATAAATTTAGAACTAGCATTAAATGATGAGGGTAACAGAGGTGCTTTTACAACATAGAGATATAATACAATTAACAAAAAATGGAGACATGGAGAGTTTACCAAAAAAGGAATGAAATAGTGATAATTTCGACTACCTAAAATGAATCTCAAATGCATCACCTTAAGTGAAATAGTAACATTCTCAAAAGGTTATATTTATATGACATTCTGGTTTCAAAAGGAAAAACTATAGGATTAGAAAACAACCAAGTGGGAAGAGGATTTAACTATAAAGGAGCAACAAGAGGGAATTTGGGGAGGTGAGGGAACTGTTCCATATCTTGACTGTGGTGGTTATTACATGATTCTATTCATTTGTAAAAACTCACAGAACTTTACGTGCCACCCCAAAAAAGTGAATTTTTACTGCAAGTAAATCAATAAGAAATTTTTAAATGCCAAAAATATAGATACAAGGAAAGCAGAAAGGGAAGCTGAAGAGGTTATTACTAGCTAACTCTATTACTGCTCACAATAGAGAATATCTTTTTATTTTTTTTCTTTATTGATTTTAGAAAGAGAAGAAGGAGGAGAGAGAGAGAGAGAAACATCAATGGGGAGAACACTGACTGGCCGCCTCCTGCATACCCCCAACTAGGGACCGGGCATACAACCTGGGCATGTGCCCCGACCGGGAATCGAACCAGCAACCTCGTGGGGCATGGGTCGACGCGCAACCACCGAGCCACACTGGCCTGGCAATAGCGAATATCTTAAAAGGAGGGGACTGCAGGTATTAGTATAAAAATAACCTTCTAAATTTAAAAATAAACTACTACTGGCCTGGCCAGTTTGGCTCAGTGGCTAGAGCATCAGCCCATGGACCGAAGAGTTGCAGGTTTGATTCTGGTCAAGGGCACACGTATCTCGGTTGCAGTTCGGTTCCTGGCCCTGGTCAGGGTCATGTGGGAGGCAAACAATTAATATGTCTCTTTCACATCGATGTTTCTTTCTCTCTCTCCTCCTCTCACTCTGTCTGAAAATGAAAAAATATCCTCAGCTGAGGATTAAAACACACACCACACACACACACACACACACACACACACCCTAAATAGCAAATAAGACACATTATTTTAAAAAACATAATTCAAAAGTGACAAAAATGTTTAGTTTCCTCTCACTGTGTTCAACTAACTACTTCCCCTATCTAGAAAAGCAAGTAAGTGGCACCAGTTATCTGTGATATATGTTCAGAATTCTCTATGGCTTTATTTACTTATATTTTCAAAAGGAAATAACAGAAAGATAAACCAAGAACTATGTGATTCCATTTATAAACCAGAAATGGCAAAACTATAGAAACAGAAAACCAATCAGTGGTTGCCAGGGTCCTGGAGATAGAAGAGAATTTTGTATAAGAGGGTATCGAGGTATTTGTGTGTGTGTGCGCGCGCGCGTGTGTGCGGGCACGCGTGCTGGAACTGTTCTATATACTGTCTGTGGTTGTAGTGACATGACTGTACTCATCTGTCAAAACTCAGACCTACATGCTAACCATGATAAATTTTATTATATGTAAAATACAATTTTAAAAATGAAAATAAAACAAGAATGAGGAATCCTGGCAACAAAGAGATAAGTCTGAAAAATTACAAAGGAGTTAGTCTTCATGAAGGACCCTGCTGAGAAGTTGTAATCGTAGAACTAGCTCAAACTGGCCCTATCCTGTTTCTAACAAGATACTGAGTTGTTTTTCAGAGACAACAGAACAAAATCCACAAGTCATTTGAGAGAAGCAAGTGTAGAGGAATTCTGACCTCCAATTACACCGGGAGGTCAAAGTCCATCCCCCCACCCCACCAAAAAACCAGGACCTGATTGGGATGTAAGCAAGCCTGAACCCTTTCAGAAGTCTCCATCATCCAGATGATCTGGTTCCTGAAGCCCTTCCCATATCTTACCATAAATGACCAAGTTCCAAAGCCCTCCTACAAAAACCCACCCAGTCAGCACTTGTGCACACCAGCCTGTTCTCTTTAACCCCTTAAATCTCACCCTGAACCCTGGATGAAGGAGACAGATTTGAGCTCTGACTCCTGTCTCCTTACTAGTCACTTTGCAATAAAGCCTTTTTCTTTTCATAAAATCTGGTGCCTTAGTATTGGCTTCTACCTATATCAGGGAGTGAGCCCTTGCTCGGTAACAAAGTTTTAGATTTTATCTCCAAAGAAACAGGTGTACTAAATGATCTCAAGAAGGGGACAGTCACAATTCAGTTCTATATTAAAAAGAACACTAATAATGGTTATAAAATAGAATAAGAAGAAAACAAGGAGTAACTGGGAGACCAACGAACCAACCATCTCAGTAATTTAGGTGATATATTACACCAAGACCTGCCTAAGAGGCTTTAGAGATGGACAAAGAAAATAAAAGCAGAAAATTTCTCAAGTCTCTAGCACTAGTGAAACAACTAACCAAGCTACTAGCATTGAGAAAAAGATTTTAGACAAGCTAAATTTAAATGCCTGTGAGATAGTCAAATGCAAACATCTGGCTAGGTGTATTGGTCCAGAGCTTAGGGAAACAGCCTGAGGTGTAGTTTAGATTTGAGATTCATCAGGGTATTTGCAGTCATGAAAATATAAAGTCAAGATCATGCAATGATTGAATGTGTAGTGTGAAAGATAAAGAGAACCCTGGGAATCATCATGCACAACACCAGCATTATAGGGTTGAGGATATAATCTGAGTGTAAAGAAACTAGCTTACTGAGTATGCAGTAATAGAGTTAGAAACTACTACAATCACGTGTCTATTTCAATCTGGGTCTCTCAACCACTTTATCCTTGGTTTCCCTAATTTTATCTTTGGCTTGATCACCTTGGGAAAACTGAGGCACTTAAAAAGAGTTATCATTGAATTCCAAGTTTTCACTTTTTACTCTCCATACTGTTGACATCTAGAATATTCAGCAAATAAAGAAAAATAATCTACCGAATGCACTTATTTTGTCAATTAAACAGAAAAGAAGCAGTAAGAGAGGTTAAGTGATTCATTTCAAATACAGGTCAACTTATTCATGCAGCCCAAGAACTTTATCTTAACAGCTGAACAAATGACTCTATGGATGCTTTAAAGCAGTGGTTCTCAACCTCCCTAATGCCATGACCTTTAATACAGTTCCTCATGTTGTGGTGACCCCCAACCATAAAATTATTTTTGTTGCTACTTCATACCTGTAATTTTGCTACTGTTATGCATTGCCATCGGAAATATATATTTTCCGATGGCCTTAGGTGACCCCTATGAAAGGGTCGTTTGACCCCCACAGGGGTTGCAACCCACAGGTTGAGAACCACTGCTTTAAAGTATCTCTGATACTACAATGAGATTTACCAGGAGTTACCACAGGATAAATCCAATGATTCTAGGTAATTCGTTCTTAACCAGAGATATGCACCAAAATTCCCCAAAGAGCTTTCCCAAAATGCCTATCTTGCCCAAACTCTACTTCTAAAAATACTGATTTAGGAATGTTCAGGGTAAGTCCCAAACTACTATATTTTTAATAGTCCCATAAGTGATTCTGATGTGTATACACATTACACACCAATTCCAAGTTGTAAAGCAGTGATATGAAAGTTGGTTCCAGGATCTACGTGGAGCTCTAAGTAGTAGTTTCTAAACCACATCCTAATCCCTGGGAATTACCTCCAAATGAGAGCATACAAACATACATTTCCCTGATCTAAACCTGAAATCGTAAACCCTAACTCCTGTAAAATGCCATGAATTTTTTGGCTTTGATTAACTAGCTTTAAGAAGATTTAACTTCTCAAGAGAATTCAGAAAAATATAGTGTAAGAAAAGGCATAGAAAAATGAGTCACTGTCTCTACTATTTAATCCCAATTCTCTAATGACAAACCTACCGGAAAAACTTGGTTAGTTTCACCAATTCAAGCATAAGTTTCAACTAATATCTAACCAAAACCAGATCCAACCTGTTATACTGAAATATACATACTCCACTTTCCAATTACCAAAATTTCCAAGATTCTAACTTTCCAATTACATCATAAACATTTTGAATGAATTAAAACAAAAACAATTACCCAAGGACAGTAAACAATTTTCCCACCACAAATGACACTTACCCATCTCTTCCCTTACTGACAATTTTCACTTCAAAATAATAAATCCCACAGGCTGCTGGTATTGGATGTGTGGCACGAACTGATGCTGCATCTTTTGGGGTTTTGCCATGACCTGCATACAAAACAGAAAAGAAAAACACTCAAATGGGATATTCAAATGAGAATCTTAAATAATTCAGGAACAAACGAATGGTTTTAGAATAATACATACATTTCTGCTTCCAACAGTACAAATAAATTAAAGACTTACTGATCATCACAATTAATTCAATAAGCAAAAACAGCCCAAGTCAGCCATGGAACTCTTCACACTATACTAGTTCTAATGAAATTTGATAATCTGAACACACCGAACCTAGCAGTCCCTTATGAAAATTAGTATTTTAGGGCAGACCATATTTTTAAGAGAAAAGAAAGGCTGCATTTGAAGAACATGATGAAAATATGATCTTAATTTTACTAATCCAAATTTATATCATTTATAAATTTCCTAAACCACACTATTTTGCCAAATGGCCTGTGTTGTAAACAAGAAGCATCTGTACCACCAGAGTGTATTTTTAAGTGAAATTTTATACAATAGATAGAAATGGCAAAAGAGCTTTCTTTAAGAATTTACGATTTTGTTCTCTGACATATCATTAATTCTATACAAAGACTGATCTATAAAATTTCTTTGGTCAATTACAGCCTGAGAAATATCTAATCTCTAGCTGTATTTTCTTTCTTTTTTAAAGAAAGGAATATAACACCATACCATTGCTGTTATCTTTAGAAAATCTGTTAAACAATGGCTTTTAAACTTCTTAAATTAGCTATTCTTCAATTCTAACCCCAGAGGGTGTCCTTCACTCACAATCACCTCCCCTGTCCCTCTTCCAAGATAGTATAATTAACCTTGAAAGCTAGCATGTAAACAAAAATAAATAAGCAAGAGAAAATAAGCCCATAAAACCACAGAACAATATGACAGAAGGTGAAGTAGCTGGTCAAAAGGTACTCAAAGAGAGTGACACAAGTCTCCACAATTCCCAAATAGGCTGATGAGAAACAGTACTCTACATCATTATTCAGGTGTTCTAGTTACGATATGCTTCACCCAATACAAATGTATGTCATTAATCCTTAGTCATGCTATAACAATACTTCATGGGGAGCAGAATTCCCCACCTCAAATTTACCATGATTGCTTTAAAACTAAAAACCTTAAGTCACAAATTATATTTTAGCCATATAATAAGCCATCACAAACCAATGAGATCATATCTTCCTTTACCATATACTTTATCAAATTACCACAGCATACCCTATCATTAAACAGTAAGTTTACACATGTAATGCAAATTAGCCCATGTTTACTTGGCCCAAAATAAACTGTTGAACTCATCCACTCCTTTCTATTACCATGAGAACTTGTGTCCATGGATGTCTTGAGTATATATGATGTTGTGTTATGAGCAGAAATAAGTGAATACTGGAAAGTGACAAACTTGGCTAAAAAGATAAAAAAGCGGAACATACAGACACTGCTAAAACTGCTTTAACATATGTAGATAATAGATTTACAATGAGATAGGCAGGAAAAAAAATAACAGTACTAACCTGTAGAATGACACCCGTTACTTTTTAAAAATAGACATTTAGTGTTTTGGTTTTAGCAAAACATATTTTCAGTAAAAATATGTTAGAATACTTAATTTGCCTGGAAAAAGGTCATGTAAATTAAATGCATTTAAAAAATTTAGATAGTGTCCAGTTGGTGTGGCTCAATGGTTGAGCTATGTCCCATGGTTCAATTCGCATTCAGGGCACATGCCAGGGTTGCCAGCTCAATCCCCAGCATGGGACGTGTAAAAGGCAGCCAATTTGATGTTTCTCTCTCATTGATGTTTCTATCTCTCTCCCTGTCTCTACTTCTCTCTCAAAATCAATAAAAACATTAAAAATTTTTTTAGATAGTTTAACATAAATCCAAAGAAAACTCTGATTATTAACCCTGGAGTCCTTAATCAACTAGCATTTATATTTGTTTTAGTTTTTTTGGAAAGGAAATGATTGAAACTTTTAGAGATAGGTAATCTATTTATTATTTTACTTGTAATGCAAATTAGCCCATGTTAACATACAGTTAATACTATGTGAAAGGTAACTATTCTAAGAGCATTATACTTAACTTATTTACCATTCAAAACAACTTATGAAGTAGGTATTATTTATTTTTATCTCACAAATGAGGAAACAGGAAAAATAAATAAACTTGCTCAAGGTTATATTGCTGTGTGAGAATTTCAAACCAAGATTTGTACTGGGATTTAAATTCAAGAAGCCTGATCCAGTGAAGCTCTGAACCCACAGAAAGGATTTAGTTACAATGAGCATTCTGGGATCACTTCACACGCATTTCCATCTCCTATCCTTGCTACTTCTTTGGGAAAGGAGAAAGAAAATATTTAGGGTAGACAATTTTTCAAAGGACTGTATGCTTTTATATAAATTTTTCTCATTCAACACCTATAAAATAGGTATTATTTAACCTCATATTTTAAAATGAAAAAATTCTTACAGATTTTCTATAACAACCTTGCCCCAAATTAGTAGACCCATGTTAAATACATGTATGAATTTAATTCCCCTACATTTTTTTCATTATGCAAAAAACTACATAATCATAAATCTTTAAGATTCCATTATATTCATTATGCTCTACTAAGACATTATAGAAAATTTCTGTAAAAGTTAAAGTAATCTGTTTCATTTTAAAATCAAATTTATATTTAAAGACTTAGGAAAAAGTTTAGATGTAAGATTAAAAGGATTCATGTGGGGCTGGGTGAAAAAGGTAAAGAGATTAGGGAAAATAAAACAAAACAAACACCCCACCTCATAGACACAGACAACAGCACGGTGATTACCAGAGGGAAAGGGGGTGGGAGCAGATAGATTGAGGGTAAGGGGATATAAATGGTGATGGAAGGAGATTTGACCTGGGATGGTGAACACACAATATACAAATGATGTGTTATAGAACTGTACACCTGAAACCTACATAATTTTATTAACACGGTCACACCAATAAATGGTATTAAAAAAAAAAAAAAGGATCCATACTATTTCTTAGGTGAGATTAGTATTATCAGACTGAAGGGCCTATTTTTTTTCTAATAATGTTCATCAGCACGAATTTTATTACCTTAAATTCTATGGTGACCAAAATACAACCTCACACTACCAAAGTGTAAACTTTTAAAAACACAGTCTTCACTATTGAGTGTTTTCTACATGGTTCAAGAAGAAAATACATTTATTGCTTCAAAACTCTAAGACTAAGTAAGGTTAGCCCTTTCTATTCAATCTGTTGACTACTTTTGCTGAAATGAAAAGGGTCTGAATATAGTCCACCCCAATTCCCTCCATTCTCCAACATACTGCCAAGTGCCTTTCTGGAAATACGAATCAGCCTTCCTTGTACCACTATCCCTCAATACAGCCAAAATTCTTTCTAAAAAGCCTCCCATTCAGCCTAGGAAAAAGATAAACTTCCTGAAAACCTTGTTTGATTTTGCTCTGCCCAGCCCTGCATTTTCCACCTCCTCCTTTCTGCTCCAGCGATATTCACCAGGCCGGTCTTTACCACAAGCATTCCCTCTAACTGGAAAGCTCTGCCCTTCCTTCTCAGTTTGGGTAGGTCCTATTCATGCTTCAGACCTTAGATCAAGCTGTACTTCCTCAATTATTCTTTCTCAATCCTCTCTGGCTTGGTCTAACATCCTTTTTTTAAAAAAATATATATATTTTTTTTTCTTTATTGATTTTTAGAGAGAGAGGAAGTGAGAGGAAGAGACAGACAGAAACATCGATGAGAGAGAACATCAATTGGCCACCTCCTGCATGCCCCCGACTGGGGATTTGGCCCACAACCCGCAACCTCCTGTTGCATGGGTCGACACTCAACCACTGAGCCACACCAGCCGGGCATGTCTAACCTCCTTTTCATATGCCCCTCACATGTCTTTCCCATACAGCATTAACACACTTAACAGTTATTTGTGATTATTTATCTTACTGTTTTTGAATTTTAATTCCTGAACATTTTTCCATTTTAATTCCTACTGATATCCACTCTAAGGTCAATCATTTCTTCCCAGAGCCACACTCTGATCTGAAACTATTCCACATCAGAAACATTCAATTCTCATAAAGTCTGTTGTGCTACAAAACACATTTCTTGAATACAAATTAGCTCATATGCACTTGATAAATGTGGGAATGATGTCAGAATAAAAAAGTCATCTAGTTCATAACACAGTTTTCCCCAGTACATTAATGAACTAAAGAGAAAAGTTTAGCAACATATAAAAGCCCTAAGTGAACAAAAACTGGGATTCCTAAAGAAGTGCATTCCTATATGCCCAATGTTTAGTGGCTTCAGGAATTGTTACACTTGCCACTATATGAAGGCATCTGGGGAAAATTCAAGTGCAGTGCAGATCAAAAAGTGCTGCTCAGCCAATGTGGCTCAGTGGATTGAGGGTCATCCCATGGATTGAGACGTCCCAGTTCAAATTCCTGGTCAGGGCACATGCCTGGGTTGCAGGCTTGATCCCCAGTAGGGGGCGTGCAGGAAGCAGCCGACTGAGGTTTCTCACATGGATATTTCTAAATCTCTCCCTTCCTCTGTAAAAAAATCAATGAAAACATATTTTTAAAAAATTGCTAAGATAGTCCCTCTTTGGTTATATCTGTATGGACTCATACATCCCATGCATATTTCTTTTATACTTTGGGTTATAATTCAATACTACTTTATTTTTGTTGTTGTTGTTGCTTAAACAGTTCCCCCTTTGGCTACTGGGAGTTTTTTCAATTGGCTCCCCAGGCACCCTGACATACTTCATGATATGTCTTTTGTTTTTATTCGCTACTTTCTGGCACTACAGGATGCTAGTATATTTCCTGCCCCAGTCCTAGAATGAGCGATTTCTCCAAGGAGCCCTGTGCAAATGGCATTAGAACCCAAGCTCTAGGTATTAGTGTGGTAGTTGTTATGGAGGTATTATTACTTTTAGGTGCCCTCATTGCAAGAGCAAGGAGATATGTTTGTATTCTAAATCC